GTGGAGCAGTGTGGGAACAGGTTGCTCTGTGGTAATGGGCTTATGTATCTTAATCACTGGTCTCTCTGTAGCTGGCTGTTGTACTGCTGGAAGGAAATAATGCTAAAATCAGCATTGTTACCACTTCCACATACTGATTTCCTGGGATCACAGACAGGCAGGCCTGTCAGCTTCAAGGTTTACATGGCTGAGAAAATCCATCACTTAATTTTAGTACAAACTGCAATAAGCATTTTGGCTCCAGAGGAAGTCTTTTTTAATTTAAGCCTTCCTATAAGTGAACCACTTTCCTGCTTTGAGAGATGGGTGGGATGTATTGTTTGACCTGTAATATAATTTCTGTGAGAAGGAGGCATCTTAGCCAAGAGGGCTGGAATCTGCCTTTGCTGATTCCATCAGCAACCTCTTAATTTTCACCCACTGATTTTTCCTCAAAATACTTCTTAAAGTATTTTGAGGAAAAAGTGTAGTCTCTATATGGTCTTCACAAATGGCTTGAGTTATAATCACATGTCCAGTCATTACTTAATATTGTTGATCCACAGGTCTGAGCATCTTAAAATTATGTGTTTATAATTATATATATGTAAATGTGTTTTTTAAACTCTGAGCACTTGACATAAATTTCAAATCTGCCTTCAGACCCTCCCAAAACTCAGATAGCTCCCGTGGCATTGAGAGCCTACTTTACATTCAAATTAAACACGACTCCTGGGACCTTCCCAAAAAGCCACTTTCGGGGGCAGGCATCAAACCTAGTCTTACACTGTGGTTCACCCTAGAGTATCTTGTACCATTTTTGTATGTCACCAGTTTTCTTCACCTTTGAGTAAATCACCTCCATGCATGGATGGTTGTTTCAGTGCTTGCCAGTCTACAGTGTGATCACTTCCAGTACAAGGACCACAGGCCCTGTGTTACAGCAGCAGGCACATTCTAGCTTCTATGCAGCCAGCCACCTCTGCAACATGGTGGAGGAGCCACAGCTTTATTTTTAAAACCTCCATGTTATACCAAAAGCAGTTTGTATCCACTCTGTATCAAGAACTCTAAAAATCTTTTTCCTATTCTACCTTCAATTCCACTTCTGAAATCTATCCTAAAGAAGTAATCTTAAACTTAGAATAAGTTTTTTACTGGGCACCGATGTTACTTAAAGCTTAAATGATTCACTATGAGAATAAAGTAGAAAGGACCTTATTGTCCAACTGCAGGCAAATCTTTAAGTGAGCTAGGACATATCCACTTGATGACATTTTATATGGCTATGCGACATAATACTTGTGAATTTTGTGAAATAATATGAGAAAGTGCATGATATGTTTAATAGAAGGAATGAAGGTACACAAGTTTCTCTGCCAAATGAAAGTATATGTTTAAAAGAAACATATATAGGCAACCTTTATGAAATCAAGAAGGGACCTGTGTGTGATACAGAGGCTGAGACACTAAGAATAGGCAGCAAAGTATGAAATGGTAACCATTCTGGTCATGAAGGATCTTCTATTTTTTGTAAATGTTATTTGTGTTTCTTTATGTGTGTTACCTTCATAATACTTTTTAGGAATTAATTGCTGTGCTCCTCCCAAAGATAAGTGCCCTTTCTTTTCAGATGCTCAGGAACCCCATGTTTGGGGCTGCCTGCCTGAGGCTTTGTACTGTAGAGTCTGCCCTCAATGAGAACGTTCACGAACGTTCCTTTTTCTTCCATTGTAACACAACTTTCCTGCCTGTTGCTTGAAACCTAGCCTTTCCAAATCAGTCTGAGAAAGAAATTTATACTCAAGTGTTAATAAATTCTTCTTTCATAATGTTTTCTTTTTCAACTAATATACATGCACTTCTAAGGAGATCTTCTGGAGTTAGCATCTTCTGTTCAAGGGAAGGCTTCTAATGGTGGCGATTTTCGTAAGAACCAAGAAAGGGATGTTTTTAAATAAATAGATCACGTAGCACCCTATAAATCCTATCATGCCCAATCTGTCTATATTTAGGCCTAGTCATGAGTAAGTGATTAATGAATATTTTTCATGCTAATGTTTCGCAGACTAAGGCTGCATCAATAACCGCATAATCATCACAGTGGAAATTCTGACTCAGCAATGACGTTTGATAGGAGGGATCTTTGAATAGTGCTTTAGATGATTCCATGCAAAGGCTGCAGTCAGTGGCCCAGCTTTGCGAGCCTTTCCAAGTCCTGAAGCAGGTTGGCATGTGCTCATTTGGCCCTGTCACTTCTGCTTAAATTTTTGCATGGAGAACCCTCATGATCATAGGACATTAAGGTGAACTTTATCTTGGGCGGCCTCCTTCTGTGAGGTGAATCAGCATCATGGGATTCCCCTAGACTCAAGCTCCCTAGTGGGTTTATTTTTACACAAAATTCCTCTGGGGAAGGAGATACCCACCCTTGATTAGAGTAACCCTAGATAGCATCTTCTTGGGTAGAAAGATGTTCTTTATATTGCTCTTTTTTCTCGGGCTTAGCTTTTTAAACCAAATAGCTATATAATCTATCTCCACCTACCCAACCCTGCCACAATTTGATTTCCTTCTTCCACCCCTCACTCCCTGAAGTTGATTTTTAAAGGCCCAGTGACTTCCATGTTGCTGGAATCAGCGGTCACTTCTCCATCTTCTACTTGACCTTTTAACAGGATTGCAGAGAGCTGACTGTTCGGTCTTTCTTGCAATACTGGTTTCCTCTCAGATCAGGTGATTTTGTACTTCACTTTTCTGCTTTTTTGCTCATTCCCCATGCTTTTTTGGCCTCGCCTCCACAGCTTGCATGCCTCAGGGTTTGTCCGCAACCCCTTCTCTTCTTTGGCTACATTCTTTCCCTACCAATTCATTTGCTTTCGTGGCTTTAAGTACCAATTTTATGCCCATGACTTCCTGATGTGTATTTCTATCCCAGTCATACAGCCTAAACTGCAGACTTTTATATATAATGTGAATGTATTATTGATATCTCCAGCTTATCATATTCTAAATAAGTTTTGATTTTCACCCTCAAACTTTCTCATGGCTCTTTTCTTTACCCTGGTCAAGTCTCTGGTCAACTATGTTCACAGTGAAACTTTTCCTGACCACTTTATTTAAAATTATACAAGCATTGCCATGGACAGTATGGCTCAGTTGGTTTGAGCATCGTCCTGTAACTGAAAGGTTGCAGGTTCAATTCCTGGTCAAGGCACATACCTAAGGTGTAAGTTCCATCTCCAGTCTGGGTATGTATAATCCCTGATCTGGGCATGTATGGGAGACAACCAATCAATAATTCTCTCTCCCTTCCTCTCTCTCTAAAAAAAATCAATGAAAAAACTGTCCTTGGGCAAGGAATGAATGAATGAATAAATAAATAAAAATTATACAAGCCTCCTACTTCTGTGGCCTTTTCTGACTTCTCTTCCATAATCAGGGTAGTTCCAATGCTTTTGAATCTAGTTCCTTGAATCTTGTTCCTTTGAATTAAAATCTAGACATAGGACACTATAGACCTTGGAAAGAAAGAAGGTCCATGTCCTGAGGTCCAGTCATACTATTACCATTGATCTTATCCCAAAAGACCCATGCATTCCCATAATGCTTTATTTTTAGTCATTATATTTCCTCTTTCTGAACTACATCTTACTTTTTGTATTCTCCTTGACTGGCTGGCCAGCTCCTCCTTGACCTTTGCAATTCAACTCGTGTTACCTTTTCTGGAGAACCTTCCTTCCCTGAGCACCACCTGACCCCAGTGTCCCATGACAACATGTTACAATATATTGATTTCCTTGTCTCTCTGTTATTTGACTCTGATGAACATTTTAGAGGAGAGATGACCAACAGGTCTGGTTAAATATTTTTTTCTAACTTTTGACACAGTGGCATAGTCCAGATACTCAATAAGTACTTTGAATGTATGAGTATTTGTGAGTAGGCCTATCTCCTGTGATCTAAGAACTATTTATGCTAAAGTCCTATCTCTGTAGAAAAATTAAGCTATCCATAAAATTTGAAGGAAAGGGGATCAGAGGGGTAGATGGGAGGGGATAACTCTCCCGCCTTGTGAATTATCTTTGTTCTGCACTAGGTCCAAACTCAGTGTAAAATTCAGCCCCTCCATTGCTGTTCACAGCCCACATTGAGTTCAGGAGGCTTTACTGAAGCTGTGGAGATACTCCAGAGGCTATCCGTGTCCAATCCAATTGTTCTTCTCTTTTGCTACCCTTATCTCTGTGTGTCCATCTCTTCTCCTGAAAGAGATCAAAACTCTTCTTCCTCCATTATGAAAGAAAACTTTTCCCTGAAACCAGACTATTATGTAACACTCGCCCAGTACTTCATTTGGGGATGGTGGGATGCTTGATTCCAAGAATTTATGATTATTATTTCCAAAAACAACCATTCCCTTTCTAAGAATTCTAGGGGTGTAAATCACAAATCAAATGATTTCACATGTGCCAGCAGAATATCAATGAGAAGGGTAGATGAATGGGAAGCATGAAGGGAGATGTGGTCCTCCCTAACCTGGGCTTAGTTCTCATGCTGGGAATGGGTGTCACTGTGAGGAATAGCCCCTTTGGTGGTTCAAGGCAACTTAAATGCCTGGGAATGAATTTCTGCAAAATTGATTTCAAGCTCTACTTTTGGAGAATGATATCTGAAGAGGGTCAGGCCCTCAATTCCCTAGGACTTGTCCGTCAATAGTTTTTGCCCCTTTGTTTGAGAAGCCAAAAGCAGAGTACTTCATTTGTCCCAAGTCAGAGGTTTTGCAGCATCTCTAAAAGGAAAGTTGAAGATGCATCTCCCTATTCCTGAACAAAGGTGTAGAATGAGCTAATTACTTTTGTTTGTTCATGTTGTTTTTGTTTGTGCTTTTCACCCTTGAATTTGAATAAACAGTGATTGATAAGGATTTTACACAGTTAATACCCAAGAACATAGTTCAGAGCATGAGTTCAGCAAATATGTGTTCTTGGGAAGTCTAATTCCAAACTTCTTTCTCTTCACAGCAAGTGAGAAACAGATGGTGGTGGTGTGCAAGGAGTCACCAAAGCAGTATCTCCAGCCTTTTAAAGACAAACTACAAGAGTTCTTCCAGAAAGGTAGGAAGCTGTATCAGCTGCACATATAGGATACTCTGCAACATCCTTCATTCCACAATCCTTCTCAGAGGCCCCCTGCCCCATGCATCCTGGCTGACCACTGGCAGCTTTAATGATTCCATTAGTCCATCTTCCTAGGGTGGCTACATACTCAATGTAGACGGAGTTGTCCTGTAACTTTTATATCACCTTTCAAATCCGTTTTAATATTTTAAATTTTTAACATTACTTCTGTTTTTGTAAACTCTGGGGAGAAGACTTCTTCTTTGTCTCTTCGTGGAACCCGAGAGGATCCCGCGCACGCTAATTGACAAACAGTGTAGTGCAAGGCTGATGCAGCCGAGCATCTCAGGTCTGCATCAGCCTGGACAGGAGGGTGGTGATTGTCCTGCTGGTTTTGTGAGTGTAGCAATTTAGAAATTTGTGTTGTATTTTCCATTACTTTTCAGAAAGGAAAACTGGGGCCAGGTGAATGTCACACATCCAATCACTTGGCACCCATAGGTCCTTTGGGGTTAGTAGGGGGAAGTGATATGCATGAGACCCAGAACTTACTTAGAAAGCTCACCGAGTTATCTTTCTTCCTTCACGATTCTAGAAGGAGGAGAGAACTTTTGTCAATCACTGTTAGTGAACATGGAAGTTTAATGCATTGGGGGTATTTTCTATTCTAATTTCTCAAATTCAGCCTTAGATGTAAAACAAAAGTAAGTGTGGGGTAGAACTTCCAGTTTGAAAAAAAACAAACAAAACCCTGGGGCTGTAATGTACAGCATTGTGGCTATAGTTAGTAATACTGTATTGTATATTGAAAGTTGCTACAAGAGTAGATCTTTTTATTGAAGATTTTATTTATTTATTTTTAGAGAGAAGGGAAGGGAGGGAGAAAGAGAGGAAGAGAAACATCAATGTGCAAGAGATACATCGATTGGTTGCCTCTCGCATGCCCCCAACTGGGGACTTGGCCGGCAACCCAGGCATGTGCCCTGACTGGGAATGGAACCGATTACCTTTCAGTTCACAGGCTGGCACTCAATGCATTTAGCCACACCAACCAGGGCAAGTGAGCAGATCTTAATAGTTCTCATCTGCAGAAAAAAAATTGTAACTGTGTAGGATGGATGTTAACTAGATTTATTATGATGATCATTTCACAATATATACATATATTGAATCATTATGTTATACACTTGAAACTAATATAATGTTATATGCCAATTATGTCTCAATAAGGAAAAAGTAAGTGTGGTGTAGTTAGAGATTTTGTGTTTGCTGGAAAGCCAGAGGAAGTGCATGTGGTAACATTTGGGGATATGTCAATAAGCCATTTCTACTTATTAATAAGATCACATGATAACACACTATCAAGAATGGACCATTAAACAGGGTGAATCCATACAATATGGTCAAACTACCTTGGGAATTGGTAGGGAAATTCTCAGTCCATGATTCAAAGGAACTCCATTTCAGCTGTTCCTTTGGTGCAGAGATCACTTTCCCCTCCTCCACGGTGAGAGCTTGCTTGTGTTAGAGTAGAAGTCAGGGTTCTCCCTCAGACACTGCTGCATGTCACACATGATGGAAGTAGTGCTGTCAGGCATAGTTCCATGCTGAGAACAAACAGCAAGACTAGCACTTATTGTTATGTGACTAAAATAAGGTGGGGTTTCATATGTGACTTATCAAAGTAGACACATTGCTTTATGACTATGCCATATAAATATAACCTCAGGGGGCTGAAGAAAAGCATGAAATACTTCTCTTTGCTAAACCCCAATTAAGAATTTCTGCTTTTGGCATGTATGGAATTAACTTTAAATGAGGCGTACATGTACTTAGATTCCATTTTTATTTTAATTGCTATTATTCTATATCTGGATAATTCTGTAAGGTATATATCTGGAAATTATTTGCTTATATGCTGTAGTGGCCTTAATCCTTTCTCCTTAAACCAGGTAGCATCTTAAAACTTAAATTGTAAATTTTATTCTTTTGTTAGAAAAAGATAAATGTGAAAATGTTTAAACCTTTGAATATCTTCTTTGGTGCCTTGGAAAAGGAACTTGCAAATTCATTTTAGGATTTTGTGTTAGTCTCTACTAGGTTTCTCAAGAAACATCTCTGTTCTTAGAGAAGGAATTGACTTGAGGTAAAGTGAACTTCATGTCAGGAAGGGAAGGACACAGCTCCAGAAAGATGCTCTATGAAAGCATTAGAACAGTGATTCTCAACCCTGGCTGCACAATAGAACCAGCTGGGGAAATTTTAAAAATTTTGACACACAGGCCAAACTTTTGGTCTATCACCAGCATCTCTGGGGGTGGGAACAGGCGTCAGCATTTTTACTCCTCAAGTGATTCCAGTGGGCGGCCCAGGTTGGAAAACACTATTGTCTAGCTTCATTCACCTTTCAATGTGTATTCAAAGATGTTTATTCTGTGCTCGCTGTAAGTTAGGGACTGCGAGAATGCTGGGAATACTGAGAAGAATCATATACTTCTTGTCCCTCTCCCAAGTGCTATCTTGTTGGGAAAAGATCTGATGGAATAAAGGAGTCAGCTCTCCTTTAACCAACACAGGGAAGAGAATATGGGAAGGACATTAAGAATGACATCAAATCATAGTTTGAACCAAATCAGCCAAAACGCAGGATAAAAAGGATCTAAAGGAAAATTATCATTCTATAAAGAATTTTAAAATATATAAATAAATACTGTAGGAATCCTTAACATGCCCAGTATTATGTGATCAAAAGAGCCACTGTTGAAACCGTTTATTACTATTATCTCATTACTTAACTGAGTTGATCAAAAATCAATGTAGAATTATACTGTCCACTCTTCATATGGCAGACACCAGCCACATGCAGCTGTTGAGCAACTGAAATGAGGTTAAATCAACTTCATATCTTTGTAAGGGTAAAGTACATAGCAGATTTTGAAGACTTACACCAAAAAAACCCCACATACTTCATTTCTGATTTTTGTGTTGGTTATATGAAAAAATGATAATATTTAAAATATATTGGGTTAAATAAATAAAATGTTAATATTAATTTACCTGTTTCTTTTAGTTTTTAAGCATGGTTACCAGAAATTTTAAAATTGTATATATAGCTCACATTATATTTCTATTGGAAAGTGCTAGTCTAGAAAACATGGGCCCTTGATCTTTTGTATCTCATTCCTTCACTCTCCTCTGCACTTTTTTGCTCTACCTTCTTCAGTGTGAATCTGGGTTATTGGAACACAACTTCATAAGCTAGCCTCTCCCCACTTTTGCCCTGGGTCTGGCCATGGTTAGGCTCTCAGACAGGGGTGCTTAATGGAAAGAGATGCCAGCATGCTACTTCGTCAGAGTACTGCTCTGTGGTTCAAGGGCTGAGGCTTGACCAAGTTGCAGGATATACAAATGGAATATCTCTTAGCTACTGTAGTTCTAACTAGTGGCCCCTCTTCTCATGTTGATATTTCACTGATTCACAGAAAAGGTAGAATTTTTTCATCCATGATCAATATACATTATCCACCCTGGATAAGCAAATTTTTATGACAACTATCTTATAGCTTAAGTATAGTATCTCATCTAATGTGCCATTCATTGTAAGAAACATTATTATTACAAGTACTACTAAGAAAGAAAAATTGCTGGGATTTAAACCATAATGTATCATAGGTTATACAATGTATTCCAATATCAGAGCTGCTAAATTATGAACATTTCATCCATTCTGAAGTTGATATGATATGGTACCTACAATAAGGCATATAGAATTAGAGAGGAGGAATGTCTAGCACTTCTAGATAAGTCATAGAAGACTTTAATTGAAGGAGATGTTTTGTTCAGGTTTGGAAAAGAAGATAAAACAAAGATAATGACAACAATACATAACATTTGGTGAGTGCTGCTGAATGCCAGACACTATGGGGAGACCTTCTTTCAAATCTAGTCCTCGTGACAGCCCTCTGAAATAAGCACTGTTACTGCCCTGTTGTACAGATGAAGAAACAGGATGAGAATTCTCAGCCATCAAGTTATGAAGGGTGTTCCAGGAAGAGGAAAACACTGTGAATCTCAGGATGAAAGACGTGATGCATTTGGGGAAGGGCAAGAGACGTGGTGTAGCTAGCTCGCAGGGCATATGGGGAGAACGTAAGACCAAAAAGGAGAGGAGAGTCACAATATGATTTGCTAAAGAATCTGAATTTTGTCTTACAAGCAACAGAAAGTCTTTGAAAAATAGCATGTATGGGAGTGACATAGTCATGTTGGGTTTGTTTTGTTTTTGTGTGGGCTCATTTTGCTTTCCTGTTGTTAAAAATACATTATTCCTAAGAGCAACAGAAGGAAGTTTTGGGATAGTACAAGACTGGAAGCCAGTGTGTCAAGCTCTTCTTCTGAACATTATTCCAGGCAAATGATGGTGATAACTTGAGCAAAAGCAATCACAGTAAAAAATAAGAAAGGAAGGGACACTTATAAAGCTTTGAGTAGTTACAGGACTAGATAACTCACTGGAAGTACAAAAACTTGTAGAAACATTTTGGGAGAATAAGATAATTCCTTTAATTACTTAAATAGCTGGCTGGATACTAACAAGGAGGACCAGATTTTACATGGAAACCCACACAGATTTTAGACACGTTGATTGTATACACCTATGAGACACACAGAGAGAGATGGGAGAGCACTAGGTGAGACTGTGGGGGCAGCAGGAGTGACTGAGACAGCACAAAGAAAGGGCATATGAGATGTTCCGAGCTCTTAGAGTATCTGAGCACCCAGTGTAATATAATAACTATAATTGAGAAAAGGTATTTGTATACTTCCATAATATTTGGGTATTTGGCAGGAAGTGGCTACTTTGCTACTAGGGGTCTTATCACTCATCAAGTCATAAGCAATTGCGTTCTTTATGCCTGAGGAGTCACATACATGCTTTGTGACTCAGTTGATTCATGGTAAGACTAATTTTACATGAACCACAATTCAGTTCTTCT